TACTACTCATAGGCAAACGCTAGAAAAAGCTGGTGTGATTTTCTGTTCGATATCAGAGGCAATTAGGGAATATCCTGATCTAATTAAAAAGTACTTGGGGAGAGTTGTGCCTAGCGAAGATAACTATTATGCTGCATTGAACTCGGCGGTGTTTAGCGATGGATCATTTTGTTATATACCTAAGAACACGAAGTGCCCGATGCAGATTTCAACTTATTTTCGAATCAATGCTTTGGAAACTGGACAGTTCGAGAGAACTTTGATTGTTGCTGATGACAGGAGTTTTGTAGAGTATTTGGAGGGATGCACAGCGCCTTCCTATGATAGAAATCAGCTTCATGCTGCTGTGGTTGAATTGTATTGTGCTGAAGGTGCAGAGATTAAGTACTCCACAGTTCAAAACTGGTATGCTGGCGATGAGGAAGGGAAAGGAGGTGTGTATAATTTTGTAACGAAGCGTGGCCTTTGTGCCGGGGCTCGTTCTAAAATATCTTGGACACAAGTAGAAACAGGTTCTGCCATTACTTGGAAGTATCCGAGCGTTGTTTTGGAGGGAGATGATACTGTTGGCGAGTTCTATTCAGTAGCGCTGACGAATAATTATCAACAGGCAGATACGGGTACGAAGATGATACACAAAGGAAAGAATACAAGGAGTAGAATTATCTCAAAAGGTATTTCTGCTGGGAATTCCAGGAACTGTTATAGGGGGCTTGTTCAGGTTCAATCCAAAGCAGACAATGCGAAGAACTCGTCTCAATGTGATTCAATGCTCATTGGTGACAATGCTGCTGCTAACACTTATCCATACATCCAGGTAATTCCCTTTCATGTTCTTATTTGTTTGTTTCAAAGTTGAGTGTGTTGTAACGGAAGCGGAAGTAAGACCAATCACACGCACAAACCCACAAATAGAATTAAACAAAAAGATACAAAGATTTACGTGGTTCGAAGAGAAGAAATTCTCCTACATCCACGGGTAGCAACTAATCTCAATAATCAAAATGTTTACAAAGTGTATATTTCATACTTTCACACTATAAAAGTCTCTCAATAAAGTTACTCCCAAAAACAGCAACCTTCTGGAAGCTTCTCTAATATAACATCATTACCTACTTGTCCGAAAAACAAAGAATCGCCTCAATTTTTTCGCTTTCTATAGTTAAAGTCACTGATGAACAAGAGGTAATTAGTGATTATTCTGCAAATAACTTTTGTATGAGAAAATAATTAGGAAGTAACAGCTCAAACCCACCGTTAACAGATATTGTACTCTTTAGTCTTTCCCTTTTGGGATTCTCCTCGAGGTTTTTAAAGTGTGTCTGCTAGGGAGAGGTTTACACACCCTAATAAAAAATGTTTCGTTCCCCTTTTCCAACCGATGTAGGATCTCACAATCCACCTCCATTCGAGGCCCAGCGTCCCCGCTGGCACTCATTCCTCTCTCCAATCAATGTGGGATCTCACAATCCACACCCTTTGGGTTCCAACGTCCTTCCTCGCGCTCCATTCGCTGTCCACCCCCTCTCAGGGGCTTAGCGTCCTCGATGGCACACCGCCTAATGTCTGGCTTTGATACCATTTGTAACAGCCTAAGTCAACTGCTAGCAGATATTGTACTCTTTTGACTTTTTCTTTTTGAGTTTCCTCTCAAAGTTTTTAAAATGCGCCTCCTAAGAGGAGGTTTTCGCACCCTTATAAAAAATGTTTCATTCTACTCCCAACTGAAAGATGAAAATCTTGTCATGCATGCACTGCCAAGCTTGTTTTAATTTCATAACTTCAAATCTTGGCACCGAAAGGGCAGCTTAAACTTATTTTGAGTTCTTGTATGTTTCTTTTTACACAAAATAACTTGGGCATTCTGACATAGTTTTCTTCATCATTATAGAGTTGCAAGTATACATAATATGAGATTGAGGGTATACTTTTTGAAGTAGAAAGTTCTTTATTAATCCAATGGAGGTGACTTTGATAGGGTTAAGCCCAGAACTGTCGGGAAGAGGAAATACTTGAGATGAGCAAAAACTTAGGCTTGAATTTGTGCAAATTATATAACTCAAATTCTTGTAGTCATCAAAAGAACTCACAATCTCGTTTCTAACAGGTGAAGAATCCCACAGCTCGCATTGAACATGAAGCCAGTACGTCCAAGATTGGTGAAGATCAGTTGTTTTATTTTCAACAGAGAGGAATAGACTATGAGAAGGCCATGGCTGCCATGATATCCGGATTCTGTCGTGATGTCTTCAACGAGCTGCCTGATGAATTTGGTGCTGAGGTGAACCAACTCATGAGCTTGAAGCTTGAAGGATCAGTGGGTTAAGTGGTAACTATAGGAACTTTTGAAGGTTTAATCATCTTGAGAAGCTTTTAGATTACTTAGCATTACCGGCTCCACAAGCCTGCATCACTCTGCTTGGAATATACTTCTGCCTCCAAAGACATGGGCAGAATGTAAATAATGTTTTGAGTGTTCAATCAACTTGTAGTCGCCCATTTATAGCTACAGATCGAGATCTGGAAGACAGACTTGCTGTTCTTATATATAAATAAAATCCTCACTTATTATTCATCTGGTCATGTCTGAACATGGTTTACACTTCCATATGCTGTGACATCAACTCCTACCAATTGGATTTCTGAGTTAGATAAATGTAACCGCCTAAATCTAAACTCACCGCTAGTAAATATTGTCTTTTTTAAACTTTTATTTAAAATGTGTATGTTAAGAAGAGGTTTTCACACTTTTTCCTTCCTTTTCCTTCCCAACCGATGTGTGGTCTCATAATCCACCCTTTTAAAGCTTAGCGTCCTCGCTGACACTTGTTCCATTCTTCAATGGATCTAAAACCTCAATCTACTCCTTCAAGACCTCAATCTACTTCTTCGAGGCCCAGTGTCTTTGCTGGCACACCGCCTTGTGTCCACCCTAGTTTAGGACTTAGCCTACTCGTTGGCTGTCTGGTTTTGATACCATTTGTAATTATCCAAGTTCACTTTTAGCAAATATTATCCTGAAATTTCTACCCATTTATAAAAAAAAATGTTTTACTTTCCTCCCAAGTAATGATCTCTTTTACCCAATAACTTACTTAAAAAATAGAAATACTTTCAATTTATTTTGGAAGGATTCACGAATCCAGTGCTTTAAGCCGAAAATAAACTGATGAACAGAGCCAGATGTTTATCCAGAATCAAGATGCAATCTTGTGAATCAAATCTTGTCCGACCGACCTGTAATAAAACAATCTACCTGCTTCTTCATTATTGTACCATGCATTAATCAACAATAACCTTGACATGCGTATTGGAAAAACATAATCTTTTTTTACAGATTCCAAGGTTACTTTGTCTGTGTCATTGCAAACATCATCATGCTCAAAAGTTGACCTTGGGAAGTAAAGATAATGCCTTTAGGCCCTTAAACATCAAACAGACGTCATCCTTTGCTTGTTTATTTGGAAATAATAAGGAGCATGGTTGCAGACGACATGCATGAAGAAGAAAGCAAATACAAAATTAAACAGAGCCCAATAGCGTGCTCTGTTTCTCAAAACTCTTTACTTTTAGTCTGAAATCTGACGCTGAAACCTCTAACATTAGGTCAACTTTCATTTATTTATGTTTCTCTGTGGCCTTATTCTCAACCATTCAGAGAAAAAGTAATGTATATTAATGGAACAGACACATTAACTTTTATATCAATAATATTAACTCAATATCTAAAGATGTTTGCTTTTACTCATTACATATCGTCCTTAATTTCAAGGTATTAAAATGCACTCATTATGGTGAGGGTCTAGTCCTACTCTTAGTGTCTCTCACCCGTCCGGTAACCGAGCTCTGATACCATTTCTAACAGCTCAAGCTCACCGCTCAAACGGGTCTTTTAGAGAGAAGTTTCTACACACTTATAAGAGATATTTCGTTCTACTCTCCAACCAATATGAGATCTAACAATTATAGACATAAGTAAAAGTTATATGGTTTGGTGATATTAGAAAATGGCTACAACAGATATGATATAAAGAAATTTAATGGCAAGAGATTTTACCGACTTGGCTTAGATCCACTCTTATATACCCATAATCTTTGCTTTTATCCAACTCCTTTGAACAATATAATAGAATTATAAAGATAAAATGATTAGTGCAAAGTTGACCAAACTCAGCATGATACAAACTAATAATGGAAACCCAATAAATGAATATGTTTTCTTCCAATAATTCTACCGACCCTTTAGCCGTGGGGAAGCTGACTCTTCAAGAAACCTTCAGGCATCACCCAAGTCCTTGTCTGTTCTACACATGACAAGCTTCACACGTCCCATCTTTTGACTTTGTATCTCACCAGCTGGTCGCCGATTCGACCAATTAAATATTGCTTCATTTCACTGTTCATTCGGACGGCTTGGCTTACTTGCTGACTCTATTGGCAGCTGGTTCATAGTTTTTTACAAAATATTATTCAGTTTATTATATGTTTTTCTTCAATGCTAAACCATAGGTTATATGCAATAATGCAATAATTTATATGTTTCTAAAGTATGAAGCATGGATTCATACCCAGACAGCTCCATAATTATCCATCACATGCTTTACACAATTACCCATATCATTATTTATTAACAAAAACCCAATTTATTGTTCTTTTCTTTTGATATCAGAGTGTGGAGATTGATGAACAATGAACAAAATAAATATTGCAGAGACCCCAAAGTAACAGACTGAAAGCTTTCTTCATTAATAAATAATCCCACTTTTTATGTGGTTGGCATTGTTTTAAACTTATCCCAAGATCCAAGTTTTATCATAAAATATTGATAATCTTAAGCAGAATGATAGTTATAGAAGAATAAGCGTAGGTTTCTGCTGAGGATGGAATGACGCATGGACGGTTAGCTATGTTTTTAACTTTTTCTTTGATTTAAGAAATCAAAACAATCATCACGCCCTTCTCTCTCTTTGCCTTTATGTATATAAAATGGGTATTGTGAAAGGAATTTATGTGCTTGATTCTGAGTTGATACCATTTTCTCAAGAAACTGCTCTGTTTCTGTTAGGCTCTGTTTTAGCAGAGGAAATATGAGTGGGTTAGTGACAAGGAGGCAAAATGGGTACTCAAGGATGGAGAAGGAAGACCCAGAAGAGAAAAAGCACAGGCAAGCTCAGTTCTTGATTTACAAGATAATGGAGCAGGCAAACAGTGGCACTAGGAGAAGATCTTCGTGTCTCAGAATCAGAATAAGGAAGTTTAAGCTAAGGATTGGGAGGAGGTTGAAGAAGCTGAAGAAGACGATGTCAATGGGGTTTTGCACTGCAAGAAATGGGATCTGCAAGCAATTTGGACAGCTTAGAACTTGTAAGAGCTTGTTTGGACGACCTAAGGAGGAAGCTTTGGCCTTTCCTTCTTTGGTTTCTTGAGTGTTTGTCTTCTTATCTTTGTTTTGTGGAGTTCTATGTTTGAAAAGGGAAATGCCTTTTGATATTGGATGGAGAGTTCCTTTATGCTGCCTCTAATCTAAAAATGAAACGAAAACGAAGGTAAAAGATTCGGTTATCTCGTTCATGAATACTGTGTTTATGTTTTTTGAGAGTTCCTTTGCGATAGTTTTGTTTTAACTCGAAATTTGAAATCGTTCCAGAAAAACATCGGTCATAATCAAGCAAGAGTTATAATCAATATCAGTCATTGTTAGTTGGAAACGATGTATTATTTATAAGGGTGTAGAAACATTACTCCAACATACGCTTTTTAAAACCGTGAAGCTGACGACGATACATAATAAGTTAAAGCGGACAAAATCCATTAGCAATAGACTTAAGCTCTAACAGATTCCGAGTATTTGAACAGATTTAAGAGACAGACTACACGTCAATCACTATTGTTGATGTTGGATGGAAATCCAAATATACAACGAAATCTGAAATGTTGCACCACTTTGCTCAGCTTTCCTAATATATCTTTACAAAACTTTTTTATTACATTGACAGCAAGAATGAACAAATTAGGAATTTGGGAACCATTTTTCCAACTCAAATTTCTACCACATTCAGAACATCTAAGACTATTCACAAGGATCAAACTTCTGAGGATACAAGACTTCGTCATAAGCTTCATTGAACATGAACATGAACATGAACATGAACATGAACAAGAACATCCTTGTTTTAGATGATGACTTGACAACAGTCTTCTCCAAAGATAGCATTAAATAAGCTACATGAGTATCATGAGGGCCACTGAGATAGCAATGAGCAACACATGTACCACACCATCGTTGTAAAGGCCTGCAACAGTTGGGGCATTAAGTTTGAGGAAATTCAGATTTCATGACACTTATAATCAATATAAAGCCACTTTGAATGTGTCAACCAACCTAACAAAACTCTGCATTTTTTGACTTAGATACTGTATCTATGTAACTCTCACTGACCACTAAAGTCTTTTTCTCTTCTATTACCTCAGAACTCAGATGTCAGGTCAATTAAAGCATGGTATTAAATTCTGTATACATGCCAGTGAGCATTAGTTAGTAATGACTTGTTTTGTAATCGTTGACTATGTTCGAGATTGAAAATTCTACATTTTTGTAACCACTGTTGTGTAAAAGAATGGGTCAAAGAATCCACTTGTTTGTATAAATTGTGTTTGGTGGATGGGATTAGATTGATAGTGTAACAACCAAGTCCACCGCTAGTAGATATTGCCCATTTTGGCCCGTTACGTATCGTCGTCAGCCTCGCAGTTTTAAAACACATCTACTAGGGAAAGGTTTCCACACCCTTATAAGGATGCTTCGTTCTCCTCTACAACTGATGCGAGATCTCACAATCTACCTCTTTGAGGGTCTAGCGTCCTCGCTAGCACACCGCTCGGTGCCTACCTCTAATACCATTTGTAACAGCCCAATCCCACCGCTAGCAGATATTGTTCGCTTTGGCCTGTTAAGTATCGCCATTAGCCTCACGGTTTTAAAACGCGTCTACTAGGGAGAGGTTTCCACACCCTTATAATGAATGTTTCGTTCTCTTCTCCAACCGATGTGGGATCTCATAGAGAAGAATGATGAAATTAAACTACTGTTTCAAAATGACCACTAGTAACGATATTCGTGTTTTCGGTTCTTGTAGAGAAATTCGAGGATAGTTGAAGAATATAAGTACCACTTTGAGCAGAAGCTGCTGCAGGAAGTGCAGGAATTTTGATAGCTGCAATCCAAAAAACGCGAGCAATTAGAAATTCAAGAAGACGATAACTCGACATTTTTTTATAAAGATGGGAAACTGGTTAAGGGTCTATATTTGATACCCATGCTCCAAATACTGGAAGTTTTAAAAAAATGTGTCTTACTCTTATTGCATGATGAAGCTGTCATTTGAGTTGAAGAAGACCATGGAGCTGGAATATGGTCATTCAGATCACAAACAAAGCTGATCCCTGATGATGGATCAAATATGGCATCTGAAGGCAGGCTTGGTAGAAGGCATCCAAACTCTGTCGAGACGATAATGAAAGTTAGAGAGAAAATGAATCATGAATTTCGAAAACAGGCTAAAAATCTGCATTCGTGTCGATGGACTGACACCAATCTTCTTCGTTCTTTTTTATTTCGTTAAAAACGTAAGAACATCCCAACAGTACGTCTTCTAATAACTTTTAAGCCAACAAAAGCTGATGGTGTAATCAAAGGTTATCTTGCAAGAATATGGAATAAGTAAATTTTTATGAAATAGTACCTTGATTTCCAACTGAAATGCTCAAAGTTGTAGATCCATTATCAAGTTAGAACATGGGAAGGAAAGGGGAAAAAACTATTAGAATCCATGTGAAATTATTCAAGGAATTGTTTAAATCTGGAAATATGAAGAAAACAAAAGCTACACACCTTGGAGGGAGAAATCCTTGAGGCTTATATGGCATAGGTCATACACGTTCTTCGTGATATTCGACTTTCGTAGTTTCATTTCCAATGATGTAGCACAATCCAAAGCTTGTAGGTTGGTAACGAGGCTCTGCTTTTGCAGATGCGTTACATAGCTTTCCATGGCCAGGCAGCACCCTGTCTTGTTAGAGATCGCATTCCCGCAAGCATCGGCAACATATTTCATGTCAGGGAATTCCAATGGACACACTGAGAATAGCACACAGAAAAGATCTATGATGATGTGGTAGCTAAAGATAATAGCATCAGAAATGAGTGGTGACTCGAATCTTAAAAAATTGAAAATGTTGTAGACATTGACCAAGAAGGCAAATGGGAATAGGATCGACAAATACATAGAGATGTGATGAATTATAACAGTAATCACGAGAATTTCGTAAATCTCCGTTTGAAAAAATTTGCTTTCAAGCTCACCTTTGTTAACATTGCAATTGGACAGTACTCTAAGAACTTCCTTGGCATTAGCAGGGTGAAGTTTGCTAGCCAGCCATCGGAGGACGATAGTTTTACAATCACGAACCCTAGCGGACTGTTCGGGCAAGACTTGAGATCCAGGCATACCCAAGAAATCTGTAGATATCATTGCTAACTTTGTAGCGGCTTCTGAAATGGCATTCTGGCAGATTGCATTGCAGCATTCTTTCACAGGATCAATTTTATTACAGGCAGCAAGCAACTTAGACGTATCAACGGTCGTCTCAAATTCACTAACATCTTTGGCCGGACAAGACCCTTCAGTGAGATTGGCTGGATGAACTCTGCATATGTGTTTAAGACGTTCATTTGCACCCTGCCCCACCAAAATCTGCTCAATATCTGAGAGGCAATATTCGGCAAGCGTCCCGTTTAAAGCAAGAACATAAGTATCTTTACTCGACTGACCAATAAGGATAGCAAGAGTAGCTTCTAACTGCGGACAACAAATAACATTGGCCATCTGTTTCGCAAAAGGGGCCCAACAATCCATGGCAGTCACACCCATCAAAGTTTCGGTTGCAGAAAAGTTCAACAAACATTGTCCTGTAAGGAGAATGAGTGATTAAATTGAAAAGAAGAATCAATGAATCATTATAAACTAACTCTTTCTAGACAAACAATCATAAACCTGATAAATTTGGGACTGTGGTATTTGTGAAGGGTGCCAATGGAGAAGGGGCAAGGAGAGGAAGGAATGGCTTTGGATTCCCACTTGGAGCGATCTCGGGATACATATCATCCATTGGTTTCTCATTCGACAGATGCCGTGTTGGATATGTTGACGGGATGCAGCTAGCTTCATGGAAATCTGCAACAAAAAGAAAAAAATAGCCCGTAAGATATAATACAACCATTTTTTAGTTTATTGTATAATGATGTTCTGCAGTTTTAGGAGGCATAAATATTCTAATTTGAGAGACGAACAGAATCATATTTTAAGGATTTAGTACACAAAAAATTTCATTGATAGGTTTTATTGCCATGTGATGAGATACCAAAAAGGATAATATATTGAAACTAGCTCCCAAGGGGTGGTGGATTGTGAGATCCTATATCGGTTGGAGAGAGAAACCCACCTTCATTATAAAGGTGTGGAAACCTCTCCCTAACATGCACGTTTTAAAACCTTAAAGGGAAAGCCTAGAAGGGAACCTCATTAGTGAACTAGCTCCTCTCAAAGTTTTAAAACACGTCTGGTAAGGACAGGTTTTCACACCTTTATAAGGAATGTTTCGTTTCCCTCTCCAACCGATGTGAGATCTCACATTTACAAAGAAATCCAAATATTCACACTATTTCATATTCCACTTCAATAGATAACACTATATCTCTGTCTGAAGATAATGCATCTGAAAAGGATATAAAACCCAACGTCATCCATGGCTAAGTCAGGTGTGCTAATTGCTTAAGGTAATGGGTGAACCAAACTCATTTCTTTTGGTCCTATGATTTCTGGGTGGAGCCTCTTCCAAAAGCTCTGTTATACTTCCGGCAAAACAGCTAGCTGGTGAGCACGACTACTTGAACCAAACTCATTTCTTTTGGTCCTATAGTTACTGTTTCATTTATAACCCTTATGTGAGGATTACTTCTAGGAAATCCAGGCCATGTATCAGAAAACATTTTGTAAGCCAACAAAGGAACATAAATTCCAGAGTATAGCTAAATAACTGCGCCAGACTCCATAGATGCTTGAATTATAAATTTATAAGACAACCCAGTAAGATCTTTGCTTGTATCATCAGCTCGCATGCTACCCATTAGCACAAAAATGACAGCTGAATCATTCATCATTTAATCTAGCCGTTGGTTAAATTAGATTAAATGACAGATGGAGGAAGAAAAGGTAAGTTAATAACAGAGCAAAATTAGGTATCAGAAGCTGATTCTTTCTAAAACGACAGCTCTTCTATCCAATCCAAAACAACAACAGAGAAATAAGCAAATCAAGAATGTCGAGAAAGAAGAGCAGAACAAAATTACCTAAACTTCAGCACATAGAGAAGAAGAAGAAGCTTGTGAAAAGGCAACAGATCGAGCAAAAAGAGGCGAACCCCACAAAGAGAAACGCAGAAAAAAATAGAAAGTTAAGAACACTTACATAGGAGGAGAAGTAGCGTGTGGAGAAGAACGGCATCGAAAAGAA